AAATTTTTTTTTTTTTTTTTTTTTTTTTTTCCTCCATTGACTTGTTGCACGTGGAGTCTTTGTAGATTTCTTTACGGAGGAGGAAGTGAGAGTTGAGCAGTTCTTGGGACTGTTCTGCTACAGATGGTCTCAGAGCAGAAGTCCTTCATGCCCTCATGGGGAGCGGTGGGTCCTGGATTCCCTCTGTAACCCCTATGCTTTGGTGGGGAGACCCTCACCCAGCCACCGCTTCAGAGAAGTACCATTGATGGGCAAACCAAAAAAACAGTGAACCTGCGGTCCTCTCATTCCCTTTGATTCTTCTGACGGTCAAAGGTAACAGTAAAAAGAGAAAGAAAAAGCCCTAATTTGTAACATCTACATTTTCAAGTGGTGGTTTCATGTAAAACCAGCTTCCTGGAGCACCTACCACAAACCATGTCAGCCGGTGGTGGAATTGGGGTCCCACCACAGCTAAGAGGAGCCATTGGAGGCAGATGGAAAAGCCTTTATCTTCAAGAGCAGCTCTTGTTTTCAGGGGCTGAAAGAGGCTGACAGTATGATTCCAGCCAATCTGCCACTTTTTGGGCCTCAAAAGAAATACTAGATAGGGGTGACCAAGCCAGGGTCTGCAGGGATGCTGGGGAGGACCCCAGACCTGTTTGCCACCATGTGTGACCCTCAGCTTGGAGCACCACATTGTATGTTACCACCTCATCTTTTGAACCAAGAAATGGTGAAGAAATAGTATTTCTACTTGCTTGCAAGTAGACAGTCTCATCTGAAAGACATCTTTAGTGGACTTCTTTTCCACAAAGATCCCTTGAGACAAGCAGCAGGGATATTTGCACACCTAATTTTTTCCCATTGACATTGCAGATTCTGGGGACTCAAGTGTTTTGTAAATTTTTGTCATTAAAATATATATAGGAATTAGGGGGAATTAAGGACAAAACCCCAAACATTTCAGAGTGGTCTGTGGTGGTGAATTCTGACTCTTTGGTTTGAAACGACTTTTTCATTTCAAAATTCCCACATGGTTTATTTTTACAAAGCAAGGGTTTAATAAAAGCTCAGAATTGAAACATTTTTGATCCTTTCAAAAATTTTCCTTCACCTTTTCAAGAAACTGAAGTTAAAATACTCAAAATAGGCTTTGGTTCTTCTTCTGAAATTTTGAAATGTCCAAAGAACCAAAATAAGTAAAATCCCCCTCTTCCACCCAGCTTTGCTCCTGGGTGATTTTCTATCTCCTTTTTTTTTATTTTTTTTTTTTTATTTTTTATTTTTTAAATTTTTTTAGGGTCCCAACTCATTCTGTACTGCAGGACTTTCACCAGCCCTGCAAGTCTGATATACCACTGAGAAAGGCAATGGCTGGGATCCTCCCCATCCCAACATGGCTGCTTGACCCTCCCCTTTATCCCTTGTAGAACAAATTTTGTTGCCAGACATGGGAATTAATTAAAAAAAAAAAAAAAGTCCTTTTGACCAAAAGGGCCAAGGAATGTAACAGATCAAAACCAAGTCTGGACAGTTTGTCAGTGTCCAGTGCCCCCACGGGTGGAAAATGGGGAACATCACCCCCAGAAGAGTCATCTCAGGGTGATGGCCATGCCCTGGACTAAGGCAAGTGACATTTTCGGGAGCTTTGAAGAGAGCAGCAGTCCTGTCCTGGCCTTCCCGGATGGAGCCGCAAGCTGTGGGTGGCTGGATGGGGCAGAGAGTGCCCCACGGTCTCAACACCAAGTGCATCACAGAGTCTAAAGTGCCGTTGGCCATGGGGCACAGCACCCGCTCGCTCCAGGGATGGCTCTGTGCCCCAAGCCCCATGGTGCCCCAAGCAGGCCACGGTAGTGAGGGGACAAAGAGCTTCCTGGGAGCCAGACGATGCAAAAGGCCAGGTAGGGACCCCAGGGAGCCAGGTGCCGTGATGGGGAGGGTGCAGACCCATGTTGGGACCAGGTGTGGGTTTAGTTGCTTGACTCTGAGATGGGAGCCACGTGGCCGAGCCCTGCCAAGCCGCTGAAGCCCGTGCTCCAAGGATCAGGGAGGGGAAAGAAGGGTTGGGCAGCAAGGTTTTCATTATGGCCCAGGGCGAAGGCGAAGATGCCCGCGTTCCTCTCCATGTCCAGCTGGGCTCGCCTGAAGAGCTTCATCTGGGTTTCTTCAAACTGGCTCTCCAGCTCTTGCAGGCTGAAGGGGGTCTTGGCCCCGCTCAGAAAGTGCTTGGGACTGGGGCCAGGAAGGCACATGGCCGCGCTGCTGAGGTGGCCGCTCATCTCCTCCAACGTCGGTGGCATCACAAAGCTCTTCTCCACCGGCGGGCCACCGGGAGCGAAGAGCAAGCCGGCCGCTCTCCATGCCGATGGCTTGCGTCCTCGCCGGGGCCTCGCGATCCGGCAGCTCTGGCGCTTGATGTGGCGATGGAGGTGGTCGGAGCGGGTGAAGCTCTTGTAGCAGAACTCGCACTGGTAGGGCCGGATGCCCGTATGGATGCGCATGTGGTTCTTCAGGTCGTAGTTGTGCACAAATTTGGCATTGCAGTGGATGCACAGGTATGGCCGCTCCCCCGTGTGCTTCCGCATGTGGATTTTGAGCTTGTCCTGCCTGAAAAAAAAAAAAGAAAAAAAGAAAAAAAAAAGGTGTTTAGTCAGGTGGTGTGGGCTGGAAGGGATGTGGTTGGTATTTCTCCTTGGATCACGAGAGGGAAAAGTTACGGGAAAGTGGGGAGCTCATCCAGTGTGTGGATGCTCTTGCAGGCTGGTGTTTGCATTTGCCTCCTCCTTCCCGGGGCAACAGCGCCTGTGCATCACACACACCCAGCCCTTCACATCAGGAGTTCGCAGCCCACCCCAGAGAGTACAAACCAGCCTAAATTGGAGTGAAAAACTCCCTGAAATAAACCCCCAAACCATATGAGAATATATAAATCAGTACAGCTATATTCCTGCCTGCAAATAAGGAAATTGGTTGAGTTTCAAGAGCCCGGTAATGTGAGGCAATACTGCTTAAATGAAGTCCCTCTTGGAATTGATTTTCTTTACTTCCCCTTCCTTTCCCTTTCCCTTTCCCTTTCCCTTTCCCTTTCCCTTTCCCTTTCCCTTTCCTCCTCGCACTGACCACTGGGTGTCTCAGGAGTTTTCCTATGAAGCAGGAGCATCGCACAGGATGAGGCTGGCAAAGGTGCAGGCAGAGTGCTCTGCACCCGCATCCTTCCCTGCTGTGGTCTCCAAGGCCAGTACACATCCAGCCTCACACGCATTTTGGACAAGGTTTTTAAATATAGCCATGGGACAGCATAATACCCAGCCCACTGGCAATTACTTAAAAATATGTGTGTGTATATCTATATATATATATATATATATATATATATTTAAGGAGAA